CTAATAGCCAATAGCAGATAAGACCACCTAACAGCTAATCCAAAGTTTTTTTCAATTCAGTTATTCATGGTACTGTAGATACTTCAGCCTTTCCTTTAACAGGCGACAGAAAGAAGAAGAAGAAGAAGAAGAAAAAAGTAGAAGAAGAAGATAAAGAAGAAGAAGAGAGTGTCTCCTGAGTCTTTGTGAGTCTTTGTGAGTCTTTGTGAGTCTTTGTGAGTCAGACAAACTGTGACGTTGTGCAGCGTCTGTGTGGCGTCAGGCTCCTCCAGACATCTGTCACCATGCCAACCGGCTCCTCGGCAACAGGGGGGATGCAGAACATCTGCATGTGTGTGCGTCTGTGTGCGTCTGTGTGCGTCTGTGTGTGTCTCTGTGTGCGTTTGTGACCTACTTTGCTTCATATTTTGCATATTTCATGAGGCTCTGTGAGCCTGCAGAAAAGCCCCTTTGACGGCTGCTCGGCGCACTCTTGCGCGTCCTGTCTGACAGTTTGGGCGTGCACGTGCACGTGGGCATGCGCGTGCACGTGGGCGTGTGCACGTGGGCATGCACGTGCACATGCGCTGTAGCATCTAAAGGCTGCGTTTAGCTTCCTGTGTGTGTGTGTGGGAGGCAAACCGGGAGGGATGCGGATACACAACATGTGAATTATTGAGGCTCTCTGAGCCCCCCCCCCCCCACACACTTTCACCCATTTACCACCCAAAACCCCCAACCCCCCCCCCCCCCCCCCCACACACACACCCCCCCGGCCTTGGGGAGCTGGCTGTGAATCGGCCGTGCGTGAGCTCAGTATTTATGAGCTCAGCAGAAGCAGCTTTTGCTCCTCAGGCCTCCGGCGGCGTCTCTCTGGTTTCCTCTGAACGGAGATAAATTGGGGCCTTGATATCGTAAAAGCAAATAAAATAATAATAACATTTGAACCTAAAAAAAAATTTCGACCAGGAAAAAAATATTGACAGAATAAAATGTTTTCTTTTATAATACAACAGATTTAAACCCTAAAAAAAAGCTAGTAAAAAATGTGAAGCCCAATTTTTATTTATTTATATCTGAAAAAAAGCTAGAAAAAAAAAAGTTTTCCACACGAAAAAAATTTGTTGAAAAAAAATTCCATCTGAAAATTTTTTTTTAACCTAAAACATTAAAGTTTGTTAAAAAAATAAAGGATTTTGAACGCTGAAAAATATTGAGAAAAAAACGTTTTTTAAACAACAAATTTGGACCTGAATAAAAGATAATTAGTTTTTAAAACATTTGTATCCAAAAAAAATGGGAAAAAAGCCCAATTTGAATTTATTTATACCTGAAAAAAGCTAGTTTAAAAAAAGAAACGTATTCTACACAAAAAAAGTTAGTTGAAAAAAAAATTGGACCCAAAAACATTTTCTTCGAAAAAAAACTAATTTGAACCTAAAAAAATAAAACAAATATATATATTTGAACCCGAAAAGTTCTGACCAACTTTTCAGTAGGTTTTTACTTATTTTTAACTGACTTTAACCGGTGTTTAAATAAAGTTCAGCCTCCAGACGGAGGCGGACAGACAGGCTGAGTCAGAAAACCAGCAGATCCTATTTTAGAGACCAGCACACAATCACAGGACAGGCTAATGCTAGCATGTCAGGGCTAATGCTAGCATGTCAGGGCTAATGCTAGCATGTCAGGGCTAATGCTAGGCTAACCCATGATCACCAGCTAGTTCAGCCTCTGAGTCACAGCTCTGGGCCCCCAGATACCACAGACACACAACAGCACAGTTACACACAATCGCACACAGTTACACACATTAACACACAGTCACACAATCAAACAGTTAC